TAATTTAAGAAAATTAAAATTAAAAATTAGTTTCCGAATTTGCCCCCGACAATTAGAGAAAATACCAAATTATTCTTTGTACGCTTGTGCTGGAAGGAAGAGGTGAGCTGTATCCGATATTTGGAAAGTTCCGTTTCTGTTTCTGTTTACGTTATTTGGACCACCGTCACTGCTTGCTCCAGCTCATCTCTTCTCTCAATCTCACGCGTGCTGCTGCCTCCACCATGTGCCGCCGATCCATGGCGCATCCTTTCTCCGCCGTCGATTTCATCATGATCTGACTTTATAACCTGGCCCCACTCTCTAAAATCATGATTTCTCGAGATCTGTGATTATAAATGCCCAACAATCAACACTCCTGTAAAATCTTTGACTATAATTATAATCTCTCTAATAAATTGTTTTTTTTTAAAAAAAAAAATTTGTATCTTTAAAAATTATTTATTCCCCTTCTAAAAACTGATTATTAATCTGTTCTATCAATAAATAAATTAAAAAAAAAAAACTTATCCTTAATCTTTCAATTATCATCTGATTAGTTGTTTAATTTGTATTTTTGTCCACAAATACCATATCATTACTTTCATGTATCATTCCATTGTTCCTCTTTAATTATTAAATTAAGATGTCGTGTATATAATAAGGTTTGTTACATTAATTATTCCCTCCGTGTCTCCCTATATATTATATAATCAAATATATAGCATATAAATTACGTACATATATAATTTAGCTTGGCTTATTCATAAATTAATTTAACCAAATATTATAATTGTATTTATTTTCATTTATGAATATCCTGACCGAAATTTATAAAATCCTTATTCTTTTAGTTATTTAATTAAAACTTTTTAAATTATAAATACTTTTTTTTTTTTTTACTAAACATTCTATATGTATAATTTATAAATTAACGGACGTTATCATACGACGACGGAATAGGAATAGGAATAGGATGGGCTGTAAGTGAGTGGTTGCTTGCGAGCGATAAATAAATCATTTTAATTTATTATTATTTTCTGGGGAAAAAATGGTGAGACAAAATTAAAAAGGAAATTGTACCTCGTTTGGCAATTACAATTTAGAGTTAAAGCCTGTGAAAGATATCTAGGAACTACAACGACTAACGTAAACTGATTACCTCATTTCGCTTTCAAATATTATATTCCTGATTTTTAAACCAAAATAAATTATAATTAATAAAATTTTAAAATAATATAGTTTAAATTATATAATATTTTTATTTAATTTTTTTAACATCAACTCACAAACCAAAAAAAAAAAAAAAACCAAGATGACGTCAGCTATGCTTTCGTTATGTATAACTAAATTAAGTAAACATAAATTTCCATCATTACAATTAATTAATCTAATTAATAGTTTTTTTACTTAAATGTATAAATTAATTTTATACTATCGCTCCAAACATTAATTAAGTTTAATCGTTAAGCTAATAGTAGATTAAATAATTGACCTCGTTGTTCAATAATATAATTAAATAAATTTTATTTATTAAATTTTACAAAATTATTATTTATATCTACCGAGATGTTATAGTACGCAAAAGTTATAAAATAATTTTTTAAATAAAAATAAATTTTTTATTAACAAATTCTATATAAGTACATTTTCTCCATCTATTATATTTTTAAAAATTTTTGAATATTGTGGAGTCTAATAGTCATTTTTTATAATTTAATTACATTTACATTAAATTTTGATAAAAATAAATAAATTCATCTTATACTACCACGGGAATGAATTTTTGAAACTGTCTATAATTATTAGTTATCGCATATTATATTTTATGGTAATATATTATTAACTAACCAATTATATAATTTTATAAAGTTAATGTAATGTCTAAAAACTAGTATACAACACATTCTATGTAGTTATTGTATAACTATGTTAAGAAAATAAATCGTGCACTATCATCATATACGTACTATTATTTGACATGAAATATAATTCTATATAAATATTTATTTATTTGAGTTAATTTGATTAATATATAATTATATCAAGCACTTACAAAATAAATGCCAGTGCATTAATTGATATCAAATTTTTTATTGTTATGATATTTTATCGTCATTTATTATTATTTAAATTAAATAAAACCGTTTTAACCAGTATTAGAGATAGTAAATTCAGTATCTCATATATATATATATATTAGATTTCGTTAGATTTATTAGAATTTCTTATAATATGAGAAAATTAATAAGCCTAACATTTTGTTTTAAGTGTATATTAATTTAAAAAAAAAAGAAGATAACTCAAGTACTTCCCAATAACTATATTAATAAATATACAATTATAAATAATAATAATATATAATGATTAGTAATTAAACAAAAATATATATATGGCAAAAAATTAACAAGAAAAAAGAACATATGGCAAAATATAATTGTATAGAAATCCAACTTATAAGTTTGAAAAAAGAAATTATTGTAATAAATATGAAGTAATAATTGTTTAATAATTAAAAATAAAAGAGTAAGGGAGATTGATGTCGCGTGTGTATGTACAGGTGGAATGAAGTGAGTACACACTTAAGACGCGCAGACAAAATGGTACGGGGGGATGTGGACTCAGAAACCCAAATTTGTAGCGAGTGGGCCCCCACCGACACCGAAGCGCGTGGCCTGAGAAAGGCGGAGCAGCATCCAAGGACAGTTCACAGTTAAATTACATTTATTTATTTATTTTTAACAAAAAAAACACACGCACACGAAGAGCATCTTAGTTATTGCAAAAATATAAAAAAGAAAAAATAAACAAAAAGCGACAGGTGGGCCCCACCTGCCAATAGTTGTAGGGGGAGTTTAGCTCGTTAGGTGGGGACCACACAGAGGAAGCTGATGCAACACGTGTCTGTAGAAAACGACCACGTTTCGTAAACCCCCCTTAATCATCGAGAAAAAGAACTGACAGCGTCGGCAGGGAGAAGCTGAAAGCCTACCTGCCAATTAAAAAATAATTGCCCTCCTTTTATCAAATTTACCCACCACAATTCTCAAAATACCTTTCAGGTCCTGTCAACGCCCCCCACAAAAAGTTGATTATTTCTATTTTTGCCGCAGACATGCAAAGAGAATATATTTTCTATGCAACTACACACCTTTAAAAAATATATATATTCTAAAAGCTCATATACACACAACGTATATGTGACGATTTGGATGTATTAATACATGTATGTAATAATTTTTCAAACATACATATAATACAAATTGTCAACATTAAGGAAACATAAGTATATTTTAAGGATTAGGTATGGTGTTAATTTACATACGGTAGGTTTTCACATATATACATATACATATATGTTCATAGATACCTACAACTGTGTTTGACTAGTTGATTATTAATGACCAGTAATTAATCTATCTGGGTATTCAGTATTTTCTTTGGATATTCTGAAGTGCACGCAACTTGATAATTATTTCAAGGGCTCCTATAAATTAATATATATATATATATATGTATATATTATGCGGCTGCTAATTAGATTAGAGCCTTAATTGGCTTAACTAAAATCCAATATATATATATATATGTATACACCAACACTTTCGTTTGGATATTTTTCAACTCTCTCTCTCTCTCTCTCTATCTTTCTCTATATATTTCTTTTCATATAATTATGAATGTTGAAGTGATAGGGAGTGGTGTGGGCATATATGTATCTATATGTGTGTGTCTCTGTTTATATACACATGCAGAGTGCAGACATAAATTAGTGAAAATACTAGTGAATTAAGGAGTAAATGAAGATAAGAACCCTTAAACAAGAAGCTAGCTACCAACTGGGTTTGAATAATTAATCTAGGTCCATGTATCTCTCATATAATTATAATTAAGCAATTAAAATGGGATGGGTATAATCGTAAATACACACCAACTTATAATTAAACATTTTCCCCACACACTAATCTTCATTTTTCATGCCTCTAAAAAAAAAAAAAAAATTTAATGGGTTTAATTAATTAAATTTGTAGTATTACCAGGTTGCCTGTTTTAGAACTAACCAGTTCCATCTTTTTGAAAACTGATTTATCAAAGTCCTAGAATATAAAATATCCACACACACATATATATATATATATTAATTAAGAGGGTTTTGACAAATTCCGAAAACATCAATCAGCCCACCCCCCCATATATATATATATGTATGTATATAGTACGTACCTAATTAAGATGGGAGGTTTTAGATATAATTTATTTTCATCAATAAAGAATCGTACAAGTCCATATATAGAGACAACAATTAAATAAAGTAATATACATTTCTGGGGATGACATATATGTATTAATTATATGGAAATTACGTTTAGGTTAATTTGGTGAGTTGTATCCGTAACACGAGACATCTATGTATATATATATATATATTATTATATGTATATAGGAGAGGTAATATAGAAGAAAAAATAAAGAGTAAAATTTGATAGTGGGAAAAAAATAAAGAGTAAAATTGTGAAGTGGAATCTGAACAATGCCAGCTAAAGTGACGGTCAGCAGGATCCATTAAAATTAAAATAAAAAATATGTTGAAACCAGTTGGGCAACATGACGCTTCTTTAATTTGCTTTTCCATATAAATTAATATATATATATTTGTTTTTGGAAAGAACAAAAATTAAACTCTAATCTTATAAACTTAAGTTTGAATAATTTTTAATTAATGGGTCCAATTAAGTTTCTCTCTGGTGTATATAAAGAGAATGAAAAGCAGAAACAGTGAAATAAGTAAAAAATAAAAACAAGAGTAGAGGTTAAGGGTGCAACACATCTATATGCACATATATACATATACATATATAGAGAGAGAGAGAGAGAGAGAGAGATAGATGCTGAGAAACCCTTTTAAAGCAAATACATGAATATATAATTGTATATAAATGGTGAACCTCCAATGACAGCGAGCAGTGGGATGAGAAATCACAATGATTGCAAACATAATAATATTTTATTTTCCCATTAAATATAATACGAAATAATTTTAATGGTAATTAGCTATAATATAATTTTCCATATTTATTTATTTTATATAAAAAAAGAAAATAATAATGAAATTAAAATCTTTGGATTCTCCTACAAGTCATCCTGCACTTTTTTTCTTTTTCCTTTTTCGTTTCTTTCTCATCATTATCATGTCACTCACTTATATATTTAAATTAATATTTATTCACTTTTTTCTTTTTTAAATTACGAAATTTATGGTCTTCAAATGATAATAATTAGTTCGATTTGAGAGAAGACAAAATCAAAAGCTTCGTGTACTTGGGGGGATTGAGCCACTTGCTTCGGCCCATTAACCACTTCACAACCAAAATTTAAAAAAAAAAAAAAAAAAAAAAGTAAATTAATTTTTTATCTTTTCACCCGGTGTAAACAGTAAAAAAAAAAAAAGTTTGTCATAAATAATAATAATAAATTTAACGAGACACCATTTTACTTTATTTGCAAATGTGATAAAAGCCCACCTTTTATTGTTGTATATTCGAATTTCTTGTTTATGGTGGGAAAAAAAAAAAAAGATCACAAAATAACGACAAAATGAAATAAATGTGGAAAAAGTAAAAGAAGGTGAAAATATTCATCTTTTGGGTAAATGTAATTGTACCTTATAAAAAGGTTCCATATTTTTGTTTATCACGTTTTTAGTAGTTTAATAATTGAATTGGGTCATTCTACTATTTTTTTTTTTTTTTTTTTTTTACTTTTTTAGTGTCTTTACTTTCAACAACTACGTGTACTTGTTGAATGTTGCCGACTCTTAATAAATTCGTTACGTGATTATAGGTTGAACACGTGATTATTTTTTATTAAGTAAATTTTTACGTTACTGTCTTGATCTTTCTACAAAAAATAATGTAATAAGTACTTTTTTATATAAAAACTGTATTAGTCGTATCTGATTTTAATTTCACTACTCAATACAGCTTTTTTTGCACTCTATAAACCAATACCAGCAGCTTACCACTCCTCCACTTTCTCCTTTCTGCCTTTGATAATTATAGCATTCATATTTTATAAGGTTATTATGCCAAGTTATCTGCACCCTTTGTGTTTCTTTTTATACCAGTCTACTCAAATGAAAAATATATATATAAAGATTCACCTACAATAAAAAAAAATGGATCTCAGTAACCTCAAGTGTATATTTAGTTGAGATGATATTTGTATTATGATTTATATATTGATAATTTCTTTTTATATGAATATCTATATGCAAATTCAACGATCTTTATTGAATTTAAAAGGTATAGAGACAAAATTAAAAAAGTTATTAAATTAAAATATTAAAATTAATTGATAGATCGGTTGATTAAATGATTATTTATTTAAATAAAAGAGAATAGTTTGCTCTCTTTCACTTGGCTACTCTTGCAATACCCCAAGATAAGTGGACAGGAAGAACTTAACCTTATTGGACAAAGTTGATTCTTTATGAGTCAAATCTCCTTACCATAATATTGGTACATATAATATATATATATATATATATATAGTTTCCTCAAAAGAAAGTTTCTTCTACAATGGATTTTGGGCAGGTGAAAGCCCAAGTCTTCTCAATAGCGAATGTTTGGACATTAAATTATAAACTATAACTTGTGGGAAAAGGTTGGCATTAAAGGCCCATACTTATGCTAACGTTAATATTGTTTTTTTTTTTAAATAAAATTATTATTTAATTTAAAAAACTTTATGAAATAAAAAAAAATCAGTAAATTTATAATTTATTTAGGTCGAAATAAATATAAGCAATATGTAAGTATCGTATTATTTTAAAGATTATACCACTATTAATTTAATAAGATTTTATATAAAATATCAAATAACATATTGTTTCCTTTGTTAAAAAAATACATTAAATTAAGATCATAAAAAAAAAAAATTTATAGAAACCCAATAGCATGTTAGGCTAAATATGAATAAATTTAATTAAAATGTTTTCATCAAGTTGCATAAATTAATGGTATCTTTATTTTAATATTTTATTTTTAATAATTAATAATTTTGGTTTCCATTTAGTTTTAGATTAATATGAACACATTTAAGCTGATATAAATATATATATAGATATGTTTAGTATAAGCATTAAATTAAAGGGTAATAATGAAAATATAATGTAATTAAACCCCTATAAACACTGAATCAGTTGGAGCAAATGATTGGCTTCTAGTATAATCTCAAGGGTATAATTTGAATACATTTATTTTCAATTAATTGGAAAAGAAAAACTGTGTCAAAGGTCAAACGTTTACCAGTTCCAGAGCTATGATCCGTAGTACTAGTTGGGCTTAGTGGCTAATGGGTTTGATTTTTTATTTCAAAAAAATTAAAAATAAAAAAAATTGTACGAACAGCCTAAGCCAGAGCAGTGATGAATATTAATTGATTTGAAAATGGATTATTAATTATATTAAAATCACCTAAATTTTAACCCAGTAATTATATTATATTCGAAATTGAAATGAGTTAACTTTTGAAAAGAAAGATGGAGATGGAGATGGAGATGGAGATGGAGATGGAGAGAAAGGAAAGGATGAAATAATTTGGAGGTTGAAGACACAAGTTGAGTTAAAAGCTGAATCAGGTGAAACACAGCAAATGCCCATCACCATATCACACTTTGCTTTCACGTGGCCTGGCTCTTCTCTCCTCTGTCTCTGCTCCCCATTATATATATATATGTGTGTGTGTATAACTCCCACGATACCTTTCATAATTGCCGCACTTTTTCTTCCGTATATATTATATTTTACGTAGATGGTAGCTGAAATTAGTTGTTCTTCAATCATATAATAATAAATTTCTCTACAATTTTTCATTATAACAAAATCAATTAAATCATGCACATAGTTTGATTTACATAAATATGGATATGATCTCTTCTTCATCTTCAGTTTTCCGATCCGGACCCGGGACGACTCTGCGGACAGTTAACGACTCATCCACCTATTTGCCATCTCCTTTTGCATTCTCCGGATTCATTAAACCCATCAATCAGAAAGGAAAAAAACTAAAACCTTTCAATTCCGCAACTCAAAACCCCCTTAATTAAATTAAATTAAATTCACCCACCTTGGCTGAGTTCATTTCAATCGTTGAACCCGGCCACTGGTTTTTTTTTTTTTTTTTTTTTTTATCTATCCTTCTTCCACGCATTTCGCAAATCTTTGGGGACTCCTCTCTCGAGGCGAGAGCTAACTCGGACTGAGTCAAAAACCCGGATCAGAATCACCGGACCAACGTCACTGCCCTTTATTCGTTTCGCCAATACTAAAGCAGCTGGAGCATCCCTTTTACCAGATTGTTTTCTCGGCAAACCCTTGGAGCAACGGTCGAGATTCCTTCCAGAAGTCAAACTTACCCCCAACATCCATGTGGCAATATCTCTGAAAATCGTCCGTGTTGAGGAATCGGGTCGAGTGGCCCGACTCCGAACGGGAAATGTACCGGATGACTTCCTCGAACACGGATTCCTCGCACGGAATTGCCAAGGGGCCTTGATTGGAAAACCCGTACTCCTCCTCTGCCTGGATCAGGAGCTTCTTAAACACGGGGTGGTTCAGATACGTCGCCCGCACAACGAACCTCCGGCAGCTGGTTCCGACGCAGACCGCCACGTGTCCGGCAGGCACATCGGAGGGGATGCGGCCGGCGGACATTCGCGCCTTGTTCCGCCAGCGGCGTAGCATTTGGCGGAGGCGTACAATGTGGCGGATTTTGCTGCATTTTCCAAGTCCTGCTGACATTTTTGAGGAAGCAGAGAGGGGAGTGAGAGAAAAATCGTCGGGAGGGAGGGGGGGGGGGGGGGGGGTTTGAGAAATTGAGAGGGAGGAGGTTTTATAAAATTGAGGTTACCAAAATACCCTCAGAGTTGGAGGAAACTACAGAGTTGGAAATGTTGTAATTAATTATAATTCAATTCTGACAAAAAGAAAATAATATTTGGAAGACTATAAATAAAAGTTGTTGGGTGGTAGGGGAAATGAATTTGGTGTAAGGAAAATAGTGAAAGGTAATGAAAATTTAGTGCAGAATGTATAGATATGGTGAGATTTTAAAAAGAATTAGATACATTGCATTCTACAAATACCATCAGAAAAAAGCTTGTCATGTGACATTGTTAATGGTTTCCTATTTGTAAAATTATATTATTTTCCTTTTCTTTTCATAATCTCTCTCTCTCTTTCTCTCTCTCTCTCTCTCTCTCTCTATATATATATTATATAGATAAGATTTTGCACAAATCCTAATAACAAAGATTATGAAAATGTATAAAATAACTAATATTCAATGTAACTTATTTAGCAAATGTTTTGGTCAGAAAAGTTTTAGAGGTCCACAAAATGGTCATTTTACCCACCTTCACAAATCAGTCAAATTCAATTTATTCTTACAAAAAATATGTTACCCATCAAGTGAATTCTTCACTGGGGATATATACTGTGTGTGTATTTTTTTTTTAAGATTAGTAACTTATATAATATATATATATATGTATATAACAGTTAATACATGTGAATTAACCCTTTTGTTTTTTTTTTTTTGGGGTTAAATTTTAAAATTTGTGAAGCAAGAGTAAGATGGAAAAATGACGGCAAGCAGCCGCCGAGGACGAGAGTTTAAATTAACAAATATTTCTTTTTTTGGGCACACGAACTGGAAATTTGAAACTTACAAAACCAACCACATGCTAAGTTGGAACTTTTTCCTTTATTTAAAATTTTTTTTAGGTAATTGAAGATGCTTTTGTTTCCTAATTATATAATATATATACATACAATTATATTATAAATTCAGCCACAATTTTGTATTGTCCAAAACTGACGATGCCCCATGTGCGGGGATACCCCCCCTTGTTGAATCAATCCTGCCCTTTCAAAATCCTTACTTTTACAAATGCTAATATTCAAATTATTTTGTATTATATAAATATAATATATATATATATATTTATTTATTTATTATTTATATCATTCGTAAAAATTATAAACTACCAATCATATCATATAATGTATTTACTTGCATCTCACAAAGCATATTTACATGCTCAAGACAAATAAGAACGGGACTCGGTAGTGCACGATTACTTGTGAAATCAGACATTAGAGAGGCGCAATTTCTACCAATTGAAAACGTGTAAAAAATTCAGATTGAAACCATGTGCTCCGTCTTAGGATTTTCAGCCAAACACAAACACAATCAAATATTTTACTACATTTTTACCCTTCATACGTAGCCGTGTCAATTGGTCAAATTATGCTTAGATCTCGACTTTAGTTTTAAACATAGGAGATCAGAAATTTTAGTTTTACTAATTTTTTTTTTTGACAAATAAACGTGTTTTTATAAATTTACTCTTCTTTTTAATTTTTATTAATTTTAATAACTAAAAAATTTTATTTTAATCTAAATCGGGCTGACCCAGAGCAAATTAACTCAATTAAATTTTCTATCTAAAATTTGATGACTGAAAAAATTTCATTCAGTGCATCTAGTTTACTTGGTTCTAATATGGCCATAGGGAAGCTCAGAATTGAATTCCGAACGGAAAGGAAAAAATTTTACTTTTCTTGGCTGTCGACTGTGGCTCCAGTGCGGTAGGAACGATGTCCCTCCAGCGGCTATTCATCCCTCTGGCCGCTTCCTTCTTTTTCTTCGGCTGGGTGTCGGCTAGGGTTTAGGGCCGACTGAAGAGAGGTTTAAATACCTCTCTTTCCTCTGATCCGGACCGTTCATCCGTGTCGACATGAACTGAGAAGAGCTGTCCGATCGTTGTCTATTTAAACTGATAACGTGGATGAATCTTGACCGTTCATCGTGATTAATCTCGTACATTCGATCGTGTCTAAAGAGTAAATGCATCTGCACCGTTCGTGCGCGCAGGATGCGATCTAAATCGTCGAATTTTTCAGGCATGCAGATAGCAAGCGTGATCTCCCGCGTCAGCGTCTCCGCCACGCGGCATTTTTTGGTTTGACGTAGCTTCTAATGTGGTCGTCCCACGTGGTCCTATTTTTTATTTTTGCGATTTTACCCCCTATGTTTAATTTTTTTTTTCAAAATACCCCCCTTATTCATAATTTTACCTATTTTTTTCATAAATTTTTTCAATTTCGTTCCTATTTTATTTTTTTTCAATAATTTAAATAAAATAAAATTAAAATGAAAATTTTAATTATTTATATTTATATTTTGAAAACAAAAAAATCATCTCACGCCACGGGTGTTACAAATCGTCCCATTTGAAGCGAAGCAATTCAAATTTCTAAATGTGCATATAAAAGTATTCAATTATTGACTTTCGATAGGCTTAAATTTCTATTTCGACGTTGGTATAATCTTATAGGGGAAACGAGTAACATTTTTGTTGGCATTGCTCATTGGGAGCTATATCAATGGAAATGTTCCAATACAATAATAGTTTTGAACTATTACTATATGTTTTTTTTTTTTTTTTTTATAGTTAACTTAATATTCGCTCTTTTAAGACATAAATTAAAATCTTATTCTTAAGTTTTTTTTTTTTGGGAATTTGCAAGAAAGTTTAAAATGTCTTTTTCTTAGGTATTTTTATACAAGACAACTTATTATATAATTGCATTATAAGGATAAATTAACCTACGTATAGTATAATATTAAAGTGTTTATTATAAAACCTTCAAGTTTTGTTTTTTGAATTTAACGGTAATTGAGTTCTCTTAATTGAAATAATTACAATAGATTAAAATTTTAAATAGCACTTAAACTTCACAATTGGACACTTCAAAATGCCCCAAACTTGTTAGGATCATCATCTCCCAATCCAAAATCTCCATTCATGATTCTTGCCTTGTTTTCTTCTTCGTTTATTTTATTAATTAAATCTAAACAATTCAGGAATCCAATAACACAAACCCATTGATTTATTAATTATCACGTATTCATATTCAAATAAAACAAAAGAATTAAAAAGAGGAATGTGGGTAATTTTGGAAATTACGGCATATGTAACATACGTATGTGGATACTTCGAGGAGGAGGGTGGTGGCGGTAAGTTGTAGAAACTGGAAAGAGGGATCACCTGCGAACATGAAGAAATCTCGAGCCCCGAGGGGAGTTGTACAGTTGGGGCCCGCATCAGGTGATTGCGTGGCAGACAGAACCTATGTGACATTGCACTGTTATCGAGGAATACCGTTAGCCCACGTCAGCGACAGAGACGCTGACATGGCATCGCCCTTTCAATCTTGGGACGCATAACGTATTCCAGCGTGCTCCTCTGGGACCCACCCCCTCCATCACTGCCCAAATTTCCTTTTACTTTTCTTTTGGTAAAATAAAAAATAATTTAAGAATATATTTATTTAGATAAAAATTATGATTGCATTTTTTTTTTCTAATACATGTTATTATTATTTGTATTATTTAAATTAATTATATTAAAGAAATCATGAATTAAAATATATATTTTTTTATTCGCTAAGAGGTTATATTTACAAGTTTTTATTATAAATTTATATTATTATTAATTATACAAGAAATGTAATTAAGGAAATATATATAATTTTTTAAAGAAAAAAAAAAAGAAGAAGGAGTGAACAAACATGAAAGAGAAGAGTGTGTTAATTAGTTTTTGGAAGGTGGAAGAGGACGTGTAATTGCGTGTATTGTTACAACACAAAATTAGCTTTCCTTGCTCCCGGTGTGTGTGTGTGTGTATATATATACGTATATGTATATCATGTTGATCTTAAAATTAAAATAACCCTAATTTCTTTTGTTAATGAGGATTAAGGCCCACAAACCCTAATCGCGTAGCTGTCATAGATATAGCACGTAGTATAGAAATATATTATTTATAGTATTAACCACTCTTAACTTTTTTTTCATCTAATCAGGATTATGTTTTGGATTTATGGGACACTAACTAAAATTAATGTGGGATGTTTCTTGAGCCAATTGGCAAGTAGCGGATGATAAAGATATAATGCAAACGTGAGGGTTGATCTCCAATGGCGTGAATATAACACACTACACAAGTTTCTTATTCCCATTTCTCTTCCTACACTTTCTTTTTTTCTCAGGTTGTCGTTCTCTGCGTGGCTTCTTTGTTGTGCAGGTAAATCAGAGTCTTCGCACTACCATGTTGTTATAGTTTTCGGATTAACCGCTGCATGGTAATCCACCACCATTTTTACTTTTTTGTTGATTAATTATAATTTATAAATTAATACATAATGTTATGATATATATATATATATATATATATATATGTATATAAAGCAGCCATTCCCCAAAATAATATTAAAAAAAAAAAAAAAAAACCCCACTGAGCTTACCGTTTTGATACCTTCCAAAACCTGTACAAAGCGACATGTAAAGAGTACGTAACACCAACCTTTGCTTATTTCTATTCTTTTACTCATTACTATGTCAACGCAACCTTACCTTTATTATATATATATATATATATATATACACACATACATATCTTTATATAAACTATTCTTTCCCATTTTTCAGCTTTACAGATGGATCAGAAAATTGGACGGTCAATTATCAATATATATATCTAGCTTATTCTCAATCTATATATATAAGCTAGCCACTCAGCTTTAAAATGTTAGCTTTAAAATGTAATTGTGAAAGGATTGGCATACAGCCCACAGATTCTAATTCTAAAGCCTTCCACATATTAGGCTTCCACCAAAAAAAATAATAATATTATATATACATATGCATATGCATATACATAATGGTTATGTAAAAGGGAGGAAAGAGATAAAAATATGGGTTGGTCATTCCCAAAAAATCCGTACCGGCATTGACAGGACACATAACACTCATGCCATGCCTGGACGGGCTCCAAGTTTCTATGGACTGCACTTGCAGCGTCTCTTTCCTTGTCATCACCAACCTTTTGATCTGCGTTTCTTTTGTTTTTTATATTGATACATAATGTTATGTAATTTACATATCTACGCGTGTGTGTGTATATATATCTACGTTTTTTTTTGAAATATATATATGTCTGTTTCAACTGTATGAGTTCATTAAGCGGTAAAAAAATGTTCCTTCTAGATGATTCACTAATCCAACTTATAATACAATTACGTACACAAACACCCACGAATATGTGTAGATAGATACATATATATATATATGCAGCTGGCGAACCAATTAACAACATCTTTTTTAAAAGTAGCAACTCCGTTTTTTCTAATTACATATATTTCTCTTTATTTATATATATATATATATATATATATAAAAGGATATATGATTAATGAAATTAAGATATAGATTAAGTGACCCATTGATGTGATTAGGGGACAAAATGATATGTATGAACCATCAATTCAAGAGTTGATTACTTATTAGCGAGAGATAGTTGTTGGGGTTAATTTACTCGGTAGGTGCTCATAATCCTCGACTAGTCCAACTTAATCATTGCATCAAATGATTATCATATGTGTATATATAAATTTATTAATCAAGAAATTATAGAAATCATGTGTACTATAAGTTTATAAATGGGTAACCATTGGATGCTCAGTTGCATTTAAGTTTACTTGATAATATGTATACAATATACAAATATATGTATATAAACTATAACCAATCCTAGTCTTCTAAATTTGTTTTTCATCTTAAAAGAGAAATATTTTATACCGTCAAGGTGAAATTCTATAATTACTAACAATTGTCCTTTAATTTTTTATTGTAGCCGAATCATATTATTCACCAATTCTTGTTCTTATATATATATATATATATATATATATATATATATATTGACATATTGGGTTTGGATTAAGCCACTGAATTTAAAATTAAAACATACAAATAAAAATGGCATCTAAAAAAGATTTGTGAAATCCATTGATAACATGCACAAGACCAAGAGATGTGAGACACCTCCATTAAATAAAATGTTAAACCAAACAAATTAAGATTCTTATAATATTCCCATTTACACCAATTACATGTTTAATTACATACCACATATGTATGTATGTATGTATGTATGTATGTTGTTGGTGAATTTGTGAGTAGGTGAAACTTGTTTTGGCGTATAGGTGTTATAATATTGGTAGGATCACATGGGTAGAGG